CACAGCCCTCTGGTGTGTCAGCCACTCCTCCCTGTTTAGTGTCATCAGCAAACTTGCTGAGGGTACATTCAGTTCCCTCATCCAGGTCGTTGATAAAAATATTAAACAGCACTGGTCCCAGCACCGACCCCTGAGGGACTCCACTAGTCACAGACCTCCAGCTAGATTCTGCCCCATTGACCACAACTCTCTGCCTTCTTCCTTTCAACCAGTTCTTGATCCACCTCACTACCTGATCATCAAGCCCACACTTCCTTAGCTTATCTGTGAGGATGCTGTGGGAGACAGTATCAAATGCCTTACTGAAATCAAGAAAAAACACATCTACCATTCTACCATCATCCATCCACCTAGTTACTTGCTCATAGGAGGCTATAAGGTTGGTCAAACATGACTTCCCCTTAGTAAAGCCATGTTGGCTGCTCTTAATGACCCCCTCATCCTTGATATGTCCAGAGATGGTGTCAAGGATAAGTTGTTCCATCACCTTTCCAGGGATGGAGGTAAGGCTGACTGGTCTATAATTACCCAGGTCCTCCTTCTTGCCCTTCTTATAGACGGGCATGACATTTGCCATTCTCCAATCCTCAGGCACCTCACCTGTTTCCCACGACTTACCAAAGATGATGGAGAGTGGCTCAGCAATGACCTCCGCCAGCTCCCTCAGCACCCGCGGGTGTATTCCATCCAGACCCATCGATTTATAGATGCCCAGATTACTTAACTGATCCCTAACCCAATCCTCATCTACCAAAGCAAACACCTCCTTTATCCTGACTCCTTCCGGGGCTATAGGAATCTGGGTCCCCCAGGGAGAGTCTGCAGGAGTAAAGACAGAGGCAAAGAAGGCATTCAACACCTCTGCCTTCTTTATATCCTCTGTCTCCAAGGCACCCACCTCATTCAGCAGTGGGCCTACACTGCTTCTTGTGTTAGTTTTATTCGCTATGTATTTGAAGAAGCCCTTTCTATTGTCCTTGACCCAACTTGCCAGATTAAGTTCCAAGGAGGCCTTAGCTGTCCTAACTGTTTCCCTACATCCTCTAACAGCTGTCCTATATTCCTCCCAAGTGGCCAGCCCCTCCTTCCATAATCCATAGATTCTCTTTTTCCGTATGAGTTTGCCCAGCAGTTCCTTGTTTAACCATGCTGGTCTCCTGGCTCCCCTACTTGACTTCCTACTCATTGGGACACTCTGATCCTGAGCTTTGAAGAAGTGGTCCTTGAATGCTGACCAACTATCTTGAGCCCCTTTACCACCTAGTAGCCTTTGCCATGATACTTCCCTTAGCAATTGATTGAAGAAGCCAAAGTTTGCCCTTCGGAAATCCTGAAATGTGGCCTTGCTAGGTATTCTATTCCTCCCACACAAGATCCTAAACTCCACCATCTCATGGTCACTGCAGCCCAGGCTGCCATTGGCCGTCCCTACCTCAACCAGACCCTCCTTGTTGGTGAGTACCAGATCCAGCAGCGCTCCTCTCCTAGTTGGTTCATCCACCATTTGCATTAAGGAGTTATCATCAATGCACTGGAGGAACCTCCTAGACTGTGAATGATTGGCTGTGTAAGTCTTCCAGCAGATATCGGGGTAGTTAAAATCCCCCATAAGGACCAAGGCATGTAGTCGTGAGGCTCCTTTCAATTGCCTGTAGAAAGCCTCATCAACTCCTTCGTCCTGACCAGGAGGTCTACAATAGACCCCCACAACTGTGCCACCCGTACCAGCCTGTCCCTTAATTCGCACCCACAGACTTTCCACTTGGTCCTCATCTGCCCCTGGACAGAACTCAATACATTCTAGTCGCTCTTTCACATAAAGAGCAACTCCACCACCTGGCTTTGCTGATCTATCTTTCCTAAAAAGGACATAGCCATCCATAACCACATTCCAGTCATGTGAGCTGTCCCACCATGTCTCTGTAACTGCCACCAGGTCATAACCTTTAGACCGCACACAGACTTCTAACTCCTCCTGTTTATTCCCCATGCTGCGTGCACTGGTGTACAGGCATTTCAGGGAGCGAGCAGGGATGTTGCCACTTAGAAAGCCGTGACTTGGTGCTTCGGATTTTGAATGGAACATGCTGGCACAGTGGCTTTTGCAAGCCATGTGAGAGAAAACAAAGAAAACCGAAAAGTGTTGGGGTGCCAGTCTCAGCCTGTTGTTGAGCTTCCTGTGACTTAGGACAGTCTTGGTTTGTGCCTGGCTTACCACTTGAGCAGCACGGCTCTCAAACATTGACTGCTTATAGGAAGAGAAGTGTCTCTCCCTGCACGTAGATATACAAATAAGGCTTCCAGTTCAACTATATTGTCCAAGACATACTGAAAGTAAAGACACCACAGAAAAAAAGACTTCCTTCTTCTTTCAAAAATCATTGAGCACCATGCCGGAACAATATTGTTCCTTATGTATGACCACATGGCAATAACAGTGTAGGAATACATAGGTCTTCTGGACCTCTGAGCTGCTGTTACAGCAAGGGAGGTTGCACTGCAGCATGTCTGAGCAGTCTGAAAAGGAAGACAGCTTCCCACATGTTTAACAGAGCAACAAAACAGCAGACAAAGTCTAAGAAAAATATGGCAACACTGCTAGCTAGGTCATGAAGCTTGAAGAGGTGCTCTATAGTAAGACAGCAACCTATGTTTCCAGGTAAGAGACTACTGACTACGACCAAGCAGACCCACATTATTTGAGTAGCAACTACCATTCAGAATGTAATGAATAAATTTTGCTTTATGACTTCAAATTATATTTGAACTAGCTGTTTGTTAGTAAGAAAGGCTAGCTAATACCAAGCTCCTATTTTGTACAAACTGGACATGTCCTGTAAAATTCTTCTTAAATTTAAACTCATCTAAACTTTAGGGTAGCTTTAGGGATGTGTAGACAATAGCGTGCATAAAACTAACAAATGCTGAATCAAAGTTAAGTGCAGACCTTTTGCGAGAGCAGACTAAATCAGTGCATAAATACCTATTCTAAGCTTTGGCAACATCGCAGTGAAAAGACATGCAAATTGAAACGTATGATTTAAAGAAGAACCAAAACCACATAGGAAGAGTAAAATAAGGCTTTTGCTAGCTATGAGTATGGCTCAGACTGCCCTAGCAACACTATTTTATGCAATAAGTTAATCACATAGTCCTAAAGGGAAACGCCATCATTAGCAGCATAGTGGGTACCATTGTAGATCTATGTAGTGAGATGCAAATGTAAATTCTGAAGAAACACATAGATTGGCAAAAACAATATGGACCACCTTCCCACGCTGTTTGAGGTGTTCCTTCTTTAGCCCAGGAAACGTTACAGAGCAGGCAAATTGCAGTTTCTCGATTTGTATGGGACCACACAGTCACCTATTTCAGAGGCTGCTGCACAAGCCATTACTTTAGAGACACATAAGTTGTTTCAAAGTTGCAATACTAGAGAACGAAAAAAGGAGAAGACGTGGTGAGATCAAAATGGCTAAAATTCTGGGATCTGCATATTGTTACAAGGATGAAATCCTGACTCCACTCAGATCAGGGTTAATGAAACAGATAGCATGGCATCTAGTCCCATATGCAATTAGGAGGCTACTTTTCTTACCGCTGAGAATCCTGGAGCAGGTTGTTAACAAAGAGCATATTGGATCTAAATCAACTTGTAAACTCCAGTAACTTTCCTGAGGCTAACCTAGCATTGGACCTTCCCATTTCTGTTACGTCACACAGCCTTCTTTGGATAGTCTTAGTTGCATGGGCTTATTTAGACATAGGCTTTTCCTGCTGGGTCTTTGTTTTGCTCTTCCTGCAGGTGATCAGAGTATTTTATGGATGTAAAAAAATCAGCTGCAGGTGGGCTGAAGCAATCACACTCTGCTGAATATTTATTAAAGCATTGCTTTTTCCAAAATACACAGTGCACGCACCATCTACTATATAAAATCCTGTTAAAATAAGAAGGAAGTACAATCACAAACCTTTACAGGTGAGGAAAGCCTTGCTTAGTCTTTGGTTCACCTCCACATGGTAATTGTAGATGCAAACTACTTGTTATTGCAGGGACTTGTGAATAACTGAATAACTCTAAGTACTTTAAATATCCTTTCCCAGTTCTTTACAAACACATGTAGCATTTGGGATGAGGAAGCTGCATATATACAAATGCTCTATTCACCTAACTAAATATTGACCTTAGGCAGGACCCAGTATCAAGCCACAAACTTGCCATGCCCACATCACTCATCATTTTCCTCAGATCTTACTACATTCTTTCTAACACATGTACTGAAGAACTTCAGGAGTGAATGTCTCCTCCTCCATGTTGGTGTAAACTTTCTGATTGATGAAACCTGCCCAGGGCTCTGTAGTGCCTGCACTCCATCTCCCTCTGTCTGAGTGATCCTGCATCTCAAATTGCCTGCTTTTCTTTTGCTGAAGCTCAATGCCCCCCCATTGGAGATTGTTATCTGGCTTATAGAAGAAAACCAAGTGCCTTGAGCGCATGTAGACCTAAACTCCCCCAAAATCCTGTGCTGATTAGAGCAAATACATCATACACAATCTGTGCAACCAGGAGCTAGATGCATTACAATGGCCAGGTACTAAATGGAGCCTGCTATGTTCCCCTCTCCCCTCATAAAGCTGAATGATGTGCTTTTTTATGTCTAGCTCCTTTGTTAAATCAGTAGCTGCATAATTGCCAATGCCTATGTTTGGTTTTGATAATATAACAGGGTCATTGTGATACTGTATTGTACCATCAAGCAGACTGAGCTTGCTCACATGGGAGTTATCACGTAGTAAGTCAATAAAAGCTCTTAAGAACCACATGACTGAACAGGAATTAGCTGAAAAGCCATGTGGATATACGTCTTCTAATTAGAGAAGTAGTCTATTCTTTGGAATCACTTCTCATGCTTTGCAAATGCAGCAAAAGCCTTGAGCCCACAGTGGGAAGGTGGCATCACCATCAAGTAAGAAACTAGGAGCGGAAAAATGACACGCACCTGCATCATGTGTTCCTATACCTTGAAAAGCTGAGGTGGAGTGTGTCTTCCTCCTCCCATCATCCCAAGAGGGAAACAAGTATTCACAGCATAGTCTTCTGGAGAGGATATGTGTACCCTTAAAGGACACCACCAGTTTTGCAAGCTCAGGCTTTGCACCTCCTGCTCTTAATCTGCCAGCTCTGGTTTTGAAACTTTTTCCTCAAGAAAAAAATTAAACTAAATAAAACCATTATTTCTTTTGCTCTGCGTGACCACCATTCTTTTGTTATCTTGCCTGTTAACTAAAACTCCAATATTAACTAAGCTGTAATAGAGTTACTTTGAAACAGACTTTCCACATCATTTATGTCACTGGAGCACTCCTGGGCCAACATGGCATGTAATGTAGAAATATCCCTCCAAGAAAACAGGGGGAGAGAGAAAGAGTCTAAGAATCAAGAATTTCTAAGTATCTTTTAACTAACAAGTGCTTTAGACTCGTAAGAGTTTGGAACAGATAGAAACACACAAGCTCTTGGCTTACACAACAGAGAATGACTCAGTGTGTGCATATGTGTGCATGTGTGTAAATGTAACAGGTACAAAGGTAGTTACAATTTAGGTAAGTGATGGTAAGCGATGAATACAGTAGCATATAAGCTAAATGGCATATTTGGAAACCACTCAAACCAGGCATACTCATTAACTTCAACTCCACTGTCTATGACAAACACTGAAGTCTCAATCTTGTTATTTTAAATGGTTTAGAAACTGATAGTTGTAAGTGTCTGAAACAACAGGGTTCACTGTACACTTCTCAAAGGACGGTGCGGTTATAGTCAGTAAATACCTACAATTTAAATTACAAAACACCCAGTCTCAACTCAGGGTGAGCTGTAAAGGGAAAGGAGAGCATTTGTGTCAACATGTCAACAATTAAGCAATCACCTTCACCTGTTTAAGGTGTTCTCATACTATTTGGAGAGCCCTTGTATCCAGCTATCATAAAGGAGTTGCATACTTTGCTACTGAAGAGTCTTTCTCTGGAGAAGGACTTATCCACTAGCCTCTGGACTCCACTTGCTGTTCCACAAACAATGGAGGAAGAAGCATCCCCAAACCCTTTGCTTGCGGTGCAGCCAGCTCCCCAGCACATCTGGAGCTGCCATTCACAACATCCTTGCTCACAGCTGGCATCCCAAGTGTCTTGAAAATTACTCAGAATTAAATTAAACTGTAAAGCTTGGATAAAACATTATTATCTGATTTGCCAAATTAGTCTTTCTAATGAGCCAATGAAGTTCCCTGCTAGCGCGAATTCTTGAAGACACAAGAACTGCTGCTTCCCAAAATGGGTTTAAGAAACATAGGAACTGATCTTAGTTTTTGGAAGTGAACATGCCAGGCAAGGCAATGCCATCATTATTCTAAACATGCAGTCTGTACATAGGCAGTTAGCTAAGGCATTTTCTCCCAGATGAAAGAGCAATGTTTGCTTTGGAATCAATTTCACAAAGTGCTTGTGAATGCAGACCATGTATTGATGCCAGCGCATATCATGAATCCAGCTCTGTGTGCTCTTAAAACAGCAGAATATAATTTCACATTAAAGGTGTCTACATCTGGTACTGCTCATATGCTCTTTCCCCCCTTCCCATTCAAAATAAAAACAGCAACATAGGAAAAAGTAGGGAAGATTTCAAGAATTGCTGTGAATTACATGAGAAGGAAACTTTCAGTAAGTCTGGAGATTTGCCATGGAGCTTTGCACGCCGATTGCAGCAAATTTGTCCTGGTGGCATAGCGATTTGCGAACAAATTGCATGCAGCGACTGAGAGATTGCTTTGTTTTTAAGAACAGACTTACGGCCTCTTTTGTACCAAACAAGCACAAAACCTCCTAGGAACAACCTGGAGGGTTGCCCTCCAGAGGGGTGTCAAGATCCCTGGGCTTCCCAAAATTCCTCATAAGGGAGGAACTGCTTTAGGACATGCAGAGCAGAGAACTGGAGAGCTTTTTGCTAAAGTTATCTATCCATCTCCCAGTGGAGGGCAACGTTTGCCTAACAACTGTCTCAGGAACTGCAAGAACTGCAAGGAACACAAGACTGACCATATCTAAATCCATGAGGAGACACCATCCTAAGCAAGAAACTTTAATATCAGTTTCTTGATAGTTTGCAGAAACTGTCCTCTGTCTGGGAGAATGTAAAGGGAAATAATTATGAACAAGACAAAAATAAACAGTCACTCTCCCTGATATATATATATGTGCACAGGTACCTGGAAAGCATTAACTGTGTTTTAGCCAAAATATTAATACAGACTTCCTACTGCATTTACAAGAGGAGGACTTTCCTTTTGAAATAAAACATGTTGGTTTTGCCTGCATTTCCTTTGAATTACAAGCATTTTTCTGAAGCCCACTGGTGAGACAATAGCATTCCAGGTCTGGACTCATCAGTGACAACAAAAAGGGAATATCTTGATCCAGTGTTAAAAAAACCCAAATGCCTATCAGTACTTTCCCCCAGCACACTATATTCTTCTTTTTAGTTCTCATTTCTTCAACTACATTTAGTTCATGAGGCCATGCAGTTTAAATAACTTGACAGAATTTTCAACTAACGTTTCCTGATGTCATAAATGTTTACCTCAAATGCAGGTGCTCTTACTCCTTCCCCAGCATACTGGTATAGCCATCCAGTGGGGCTTGTTAGAATTCCCTGAGCACTTTTGCAGTTTGAGAAACTTTATGGATTGCCCTACAGTAAAGTACTCAAAAAAGAAACCATGGAAAATTCATGTTCTAATACTTCTTAATAGAAGTAAAGCTACTGTAAAATTTAAGTATGTGTTTTATATTAGCACATATGATATTGCAAAAACAAAACTTGAAGTACTTCCTACTATGGCCCTGTTTTCTTCAGTTGAGTTTTTCCTGGGTTACGCTAGGAATGTGGCCAACAAAAAATTTGCCCCAGCGAGCCTTAAGCTCCTAAACATTCTGCTTTCAAAATCAGCTAGAAAAAGATAACTTCCTTAAAAGCATCTTGAAGTACTACAGTAGTTTGCGCTGTGTTGGCACAAAGACAGCCAGTAACCTTTTCTTCAATTTCTGTTGTATGCCTAAGAGTGATAGTACTTTGCCTTGCTAACATTCTTACAGATCCCATTGCTGGAGAGAGTTCGAGAAACAGTACTCACACTCACCGCTGGGATCGGGGCAGTCCATTCCAGGAGCAGAGTTGTGCAGCAGTTCCAGCCTACCAGAAGCCATCAATTTATCTAGTTTGCTGTTAGCAGGGAAAAAAAAAAAAAAAAACAAAAAGAAAAAAGAAAACAGGAAAAAAAAGCTAAGCAATATTACTATCAATATGATAGTAGGAAAAAATATCCATAGCTTAATAATATATGCAACCTGTATTCCTTTATACAGTCTGTTGTACTTATTAGTGAGAGCACAGCTTTCAGGAACCTGAATTTGACCTATGCAGTCATAAAAAATGGCCTATCATCACTGGTTTTATTTGCATGCAGGGACAGATTGTAGCTAAAATATACTGGCATAACCTCATTGACTTCAAGGACCTATGCTCACAGGCGTGTACTAAGAATGTGACCCAATGTTTGTTTGGTTTTCAGACCACAATAGTAGTATGGCACAGTCTAGCAATGAAGCCAACCAATTCAGACTCACTTTGCTTTAATGCACATTTTTACATGCTTCCCACAGAGCTGCTGCTTTTTTCAGGCTTTCACTAAGCTAAAAATGCATCTGACTTCCAAACACCTCCTGACTTAGTCAAGTTCGCTCCCATTAGTTAACTTTTTTCTTTTGCACATACATCAACTAATGTTAAACAATGAAGACAACCAAAGCAGAGAATTTTGCTTACAGGTTATTAAATGACCATTAATCTTTTCCTTTAGTTTTGAAGCTCTCCAAATAGTGATGGAGTTGGCTTAAGTCTGGGCATTACACAGTAAGAAATATACATGTGAAAGCTGGAACAGAGAACACGGCCAAAGAGGTCACCGAGCTGGTGCTGCAAATGAGCAGACCTGTTTGCATAACATCGTGGCAGACTCCTGAAAGGCAAAACTCTGTAACTTGCCAGAGCAAACAGGTGATTATACAGCATATAAGAATATATTTCTTTTGCAGAGATTAGCTGAAGAAATATAAAATAATGAGCTCGCTGTTAAAGAACAGATGATGAATGAAAGGTAAACAACAAATGGGAAAATGTGATTAGTCATCTGTCATTTATTTCACCGGACCTGATATTTTTGTTGCCTAAATCAATGGTAAAACTATCCTTAACTGAAGGCAAGAAAGTCTTGAATCCACTGTATGTGCCTCCTTATGTTGTGGCAAGCTTCTAGCTGCACCTGCCAATATGTGCTTTCAAGCACTTGAGCAATTCTTACAGAATTAGCCCAATTTGTCAGAAATGAAGAAAGAGCAAATGCAAAGACAAAGTGGTGTGGTTTGAAATGTCAAAATATGGTCTAATAGTATTTTAAACGTTAAAAACAAAGTTTCTAGGCTGCCTACGATATTTGATACCCCACTCCTATGGTTCTGTTCATTTGTTTATGTAACACAGCTGCAAGCTGCTGAACAGGAATAGCTGCATTTTAATGATGGCGGTAGTAAGCCCAAGCCCATAAACATAGATTGGGGAATTTAGGCTGAGAGAAAGGGAGAGGGCAGATGTTAAAGAGAGAAAGATAGCTTAAAGGCCTCAAGCAAGGATGAATTCTTGGCTCCACTGAAGATTATGGGGGCTTAATCAATTATTTCAACAGGATAAGTATGGTAATTGCGGCTAAAGTGCACTTGGATCTCACACAACAGATTTCAGATGAACATCAGGTATCAGTAGTCCACATACAGTTAATGAACAGTACTTATCCTGAAATTGCCTTAGATTGTACTTAGAAATCATTATCAAATTGCTTAGACTATCAAATTATAAACCCTGTTCCAATACAAAAAGAAGGTAAATCATCTTAATAATCTCTTGAACAATTCACTAGCTATAGCACATTGAGTAGAAAACTGACTGGAAATAATTAATTTTCTGCTAAAATAAAAAAAAAAAATAGCTTCGTCCTTCCTTCATTAAAAGTTTCTATGATCATGCCAGAAACAAATTGCTGGGATTGAGTAGTTATCTCTTCAAATGGTTACCACAAGATCAATGATATTAAAATAAAATCGTTAAATCTTTTATGAGTATGTCCATGTGGTTCAAGAATGAAAGCAAAAGTAATGCAGGGGATATGAAAATATGGACCAAGAGTCAGGTTAGGTAGATTTAAAGGTTACAAAGTTCCTTTTAACTACAAAACACACAGATTTTGCTGTATTCATTACAGGAAGCGATCCTGTATGGGGAATGGTAACCAAAGAGCTGGATATAATACTAAGTTCAACAATGTTTACCTGCTGATCCTATGCCTTAACACCTTTTTCCCTTCAACAGAGTTAACACCTAAGGACAACGTACTTTAAATGGCCTCCTTACAATACTCCATTCAATAACCTATCCATATAGGCAGCTTTCAGATGTTATAAATCTGATCTTGTGGGTAAAGAATACATATACTATTAACTTTTCAAACAAAAGAAGAACTATTAAAATACTGGGATTTATTCCCTGCAAAGACATTTACCACCCAAAACACTGGGAAATGTTAAAATCTTTTCTTTGGTCTGTTTTCCAATCAGTTTTCACATCTCATGAAGTCTGCCTGAATCACACTTCTTTTTACTTTGTGCCAAACTTCTCCACAGACTAAGCCTTCCATTGTGATAGGATTTCTGTGATGCAAAGTGTGTTGTGTGGCCATAATCTGGCATGAAAGACCTGGCTCTTCCAGTGAGCCCAGGCCCTGCAGCAGCAGAAATGAAACAAGGCACTGTGAAGATGACAACAGAGCTCAACAGAGATCAATGAGAAGCAAATCTAAAAGGAAAAGAAATGGCTTAGGTTTACAAATTGATGTTTTCAGAGCTAGCCTGACAAAAAGTATGTGCCTCTTCTTCTCAGCTGCAATTTCTTTTCCAGTAACAAATCCAAAACTTCAGCAAAATAGTTTTAAAACCACTTCATTTCACTTTCCACAAGACAACAGAGCAATACCCCCCAGCTCAAACAAAAGGGCAATGATTTTCCCACTTGAAAATTCAGCTTGAAAGCTGCTCCAAGCACAGAATGTGTCTCACATGAAGCTGTCAGTTTTGTTGGAGTGGATGAGCTGAGTTGTTGCAGTGTTTAGAAAGCAGACAATAAAGGAAGAGGGCAGGATGTGGTAGTTGTTATTCAGTAGGTGGCACTTTTCTCTATGAGGTTCCAGTCTGGCAAGAAGTCCTGGTCAGTCAGACCCCAGACAGCAGATATATTGTCCAAAGGTTCAGAAATGGAAAAGTGTTGGGTTTTTTTCCTGATGCTTTTCACTTGCAGAGTATAAACATATGGTAGATTTCAGCTGGACTAAAATAGACATGCAAGAATTCCATCTGCACAGAGCTGTCTACAGAACTGACCCGCCACTACTGATTTACTGTGGTCAGAGAATACAGCCTTGTGCCCTGCTGCAGCAGGAGGTGCAGGCAGCTGCTTGAGGTGGGTAAATATTGTAGTAAAGCCTTGTGTTTGGCATTTTGACCAAATTCAAATCTGGTCAACGTTACCCTGCCATCCAAAAGTATCTTCAAGGTTTAATTTGGCTGATACTTTCTTCTCTGCATGCTTTGTACATACATCCTCCGTCAACTGCTATTTGTGTGAGAGTGGCTGCTTTCCAGGAATGGAGAAATTGATTTCTGTATGCAATTAAAAGAGAGAGAAAGAGAGAAAAAAAAATCTAACTGGCTTCACGGTTCATCTGACGTTGTTGTTAGAACTCAGAGAGGACACAAAACAATCCCGTGGCCTCCTGAAAACAGTTAATCAGGATTTAGACAACACTATAGTTAGCTTGTTTTAAGAGAAATTTCTCCAAAGGGTTAATTACAGGCCTAGAAAAAAACAAAACAAATCAAAACAAACATGTGGAAGGCATTAAACCTAAATTTTCAACATGAGCAACACTAACAGACCTTTTCTCTAGCCAGGCACAATCCCTGCAATACTACAGATTAGACGGAGCCCCTGGGAAGTATGTGCCTGCAGCTGCTACGCAGATGTGTATATAGAAAATGAAGCAGATTCTTCCAAACACACTGGATGATTCTGGGGCTAGTAAAATTACCACTGATCCAGTGTTAACTGACAACTTTTCTTGTTAAAAATATATTTCATCTTATAGCAAAACACATGCAAAGCTGAAAAATATCCTCCCGTGAATGGGCAACAAATATAATTGTTTTCACTTCAGAGTGATTACCATCTTGTAAATATCAATTTATTGTTAAACATCTTTTCTTGGGAATAAGGAAAGCTGTCCTTGGTGTTTGTTCAGGTGCAAGACCTCTTTCTCAGGAAGCTGGTTAGCATTTATTAGGACACACAAATGTGCATATTCTCCTCCAATTATTTATCTACCATTCAAACACAAACTCAGCTTCTGCTCATGAAAGACGATGGAATAGCCCCAGACAACCCATATGGTTGGCTGATGGTCAAGATCAACTAAGAACCAAGTTGCACACACTACCTTCCTGCTTTGCTATCATGTGACTACATTCTTATCTGCTTTTCCTGCATTTTCTGGCCTCCACATTAATGCATAGTAAAGCTTGGATTCTGCAACAAACACAGAAGCAGAGGTTCTCAACAGAACTTGGAAAAACTAGGCAAACAAACTCAACTGCACTGCAAGGCAACAAGCACTGAGGGCAAACTCCAACTTCAGAGATGGTTAGACAGCTAAACAGACCGTCAGAGATCTGGCCTTGTGCACTTGCTCTTTGGCATGTTTGACAACCACAGCTCTAAGATCTGGGGCCATTAGCTGCCTCCATGTGACCAATAACAAATAAAAACAAAGCAGCCTTGTTCTGCAGCAATGACAGCGCTGGAATGCTGTCCAAGCAAGGCTGATCAGAAACATATGTGCTGTGTAAAAGATACTTTATCTCTTATTACCAGTTCCCTGGTTCATGTAGCCTTCCAGCTATACTCCTCTAAGAAACAGCCAGTGCCAAAAGCCAACAAGTGAAGCGATAGCTTCCTTCCTTCACTTCTTGAACAGAACATGGGATCTGATTGTGGAAAGCATATATTTGACATGGAGTCCACAGGTATCCTAGAAAGACCTTTAACAACACATTTTTTAGAGTCATATGAGCTTGACCAATTGAGAACCTATTGTACAAAAGTCACAGATATTCAGACACTGAACTGACCTTTACAGAAACCCTAAGTAACAGAAGCAATGACAGCACAGAAGACACTTTTCCTCCTTTAAGAGAGCACCACTCATTCATACACAGCTTCAAAATAACCAGAGTGCAAAGAATTCCCCTGCATTTGGGAAAAGAGAATAAAAGATAAACAATGTGATGATGGATATAGAGGGTGAGGCAGGCAGGGACAAGAAACAGAGCAACCAGAAAGAAAAAGGAAGGCAAGGACTGAAAATGGAGGAAAATAGGTGAAAGTTTAGAGGGAATGTCACTGACATGATGAGTTCACAGGCAGGCAACAGGGGCAAAATACCTTTTACCTATTGGAAAACACAAGGAAATGGGCAGGTTGGGGAGGAAGTAGAGATATCTAGCAAGAACTACTTTAGTAAGCATTTTTTTCCTCCCTTTATCACCTTACTGCAGAATTGAAATTCATTTTAATTAAAAAGGCAGTTTTACATGCTGTTCTTGGAACCTGATCAAAGTGCTGCCTCCTTAGTTGATATATTTCTTAAAGTCCTCAAATGTGCCTAAAATACTCCCCTTTGCTATAACTCTAATGGCCTACAATCACTTCAAGCTGTGGTCTCCTCAGTTAGGATAAACAGTGTTGTGCCAATGTCTGGCTGATGAAAACCTCCAGAAACATACCAGGAGCTTAAAACGGAGACATTATAATTTTGTAGAGAGCACTCCTCCCTGTGAATTACTGTTCTGTTTGCATCCCACCATGCCATCACGAGACACCACTCTGATAGTAGTGGTAGTTGTCCTAGGGCTTGTTTACAATGGAGCCTATTTGCCAAAGCATCACCAAACCACCATAACTACTCCCTTTCTACTCCCCAACTACTATAGATCTCTCAAAGCTTGGCATTACACACCACAGAAGGCCCAGAGACTCCTGCAGTCTCATATAGAAGTGAGCAGGTTAACAAGAGAGCCCACGCCCAGTATAGACATTGCTAACTTGTTTCTTAAGTTGTTTCTACAGAGTTTCCTCAGACTGGGGGGCATCTTCATCCACTTCCAGGCCAAAGCTACTTATTTGGACTAATGGGTCAGTCGCCACTTTCTACTCTCAGAGACTGGTGGCTGGAGAGACTTGCCCATAACAAACCTGTTTTTAAAGCTCTTTTCTGGATAAATACACGATCATATTGTTAAAACTGTTTTCCTGCAGCAGTTTAAAACATTACAAACTCTGACACCTGCCTCCTGGGAAATGCACTTGGGGCTGATGCCCAAAGCAGCGTTCAGGGCAGCATCATGCGATGATCCCATTCCTAGTCCCTGCCTCACAGATGGCCCCCAGCATGTGGCTGGTTCTGTGCATCTTCCACCGGAGACACAGGTCAGGATGAACCTCCTGTCACATCTGTTAACACACACTGAGGGAAGAGGTCTGCCTTCTGGTCCCGCTCACACCCCTTGGGGACCACTCCCACTAGGGGAACTCTAGGCATCAACATGATGCCAGAACATGAGGAGCAGCTGCTACTTCTCCGTGTCCCGTTCAAGAAGTGAAGGGAGGAAGCTACAGCTTCACTTGTTGGCTTTTGGCACTGGCTGTCTCTTTAGAGGAGAATAGCTGGAAGGCTACATGAACCAGGGAATTTGTAATAAGAGATAAAATACTTTTTAAACAGTGCATATGCTTCTGATCAGGCTTGCCTGGACAGCAGTCCAGTGCTGTCATCGCTACAGAACAAGGCTGCTTTGTTTTCATTTGTTATTGGTCACATGGAGGGAGCTAATGGCCCCAGCCAAAAGTCAGGTTTGTACTGCATCAAGCACTGCTCTGTAAAATCCTAAGTAAAAGTGTTTGCTCTCAAAAGCTTGTGTGGGAGACAGGCAGTGGAAGGAAGGAAACAATATCTCTGCTTTGCTACGGCAACTGACACACCAGGATATTTGTGCAGGGTCACATAGAAAATCTGCAATAAAGCCAGAATTTGAACCTACATCTTCTGCATGCAATTACAGCACTAATGCAACAGGTCCTTCCTTCCTCTCAAACGTGTGATGCCTGACTTTTATTTGTGAGCTTGAACTGAAAAACACCAGCATGGAAAACAAGCCTTAACCTATTGCACTGAGGAAGCAACTCCATCAGCAATGGGCAGTCAAAAACTCCAGCGATGTCCACAGTCAGACACAATCTAGCTCTATTTATAAGGCTCCACAATACATGCTCTAGGAGGCATCTATTGAGACAAGTTTGAAAGCCATCCACAACAGAAAACGCAAAGCTGGTTTTTGTGCTGTATCATTGTGCTGTGTAGGGGCGAACACAGTGCCAGGGGATGCAAATTCAGACCTACCCCAACTGGCAGGAAGTGCTGGACGTAGCCCAGGATATTGGTCAACATCTCTACTGGTTCCCTGGCCAGAGCTAGTATCTTTGTTCTCGTTGAGAAGCCCTAAACAGGGTCTTCAGAAATTACTTGTTCTTTCCCAGAATGCCATGAGGAAGAAGAATGCAGACTTACTGATTCTCTTGGAAGCACTTCTGGAATTTTGTGAAGTGAAAGATTTACATGAACAAACAAGCTGCGCTGTATGAAACAGCATGCCGAACTTCCAGCTAGGGGTTCAGATAAAACAGGGGATGACACTGTTAACAAAAATCAGAACTAATAAATGTTAAAATAGTGGAGTACTCTCTATGGACCCACAAGATGCCACCTGGAAGGGAAACGGTGTTTCAGGTCAAAGGGATCCATTTTTACACTGTTCACAACAGTCTTTCCTAACATACCAGGTCATTCATGAAGTTTCACTGAACCCTTTAAAACTGCCTTTTGTTCAGCTATTTTTGATGTGCGTTTTCCATTAGCATAATTGGGAAGTACAAGAAAATTAAGATGGTCCCCTCGGGCTACCATAGGGAATGTTCCTGCCACTTCCACCATTGCCTCAGTTCCACCTACCACAAAGCTTACCTACTTCTGCAGTGGAAGAACTGAAGTAAAGTATCAAGTGACCTTGTGCATACTACAAGCACCTAAATCAGAATATGCAAGGGTCTGCTGCTCAAGGCTATAAAGCCCAGTGGTGAAATGTTATCCAGAGCCTGATTTACCACTAGGAATTCCAGCATGGTTACCTGGGGGTTAGCAAGCCTAGGAAATACAGGAGGTTTTATGGAGCAAAGCAACTGGCAACAAGAAAGCAACACAGGCATCATTCGCTGCATCCCCTCAGCTCATAAGATTTAGGCCAGTATCTGACCGTACAATACGTACTCATGCTGTTCTGTACTACTCATGACTTTGAAATCAGAAGTGAGACTTGTTTGTCTTCCCAGTCCAACTTTTTCCCAGTATTGTACCAGCATGCACACAGTAACTGTTGAAACAGTTATTATTACAAGCCACATGTTGGTGTGCTCACCAGTACAAACAGTCCCACTGAAGCAAACGTTCCCAGTCGTGCTGCAAGGCTCCAATATTCAACATGAGGACACAGCAAAACCTGTTCCTAAATCTCAAGGGTTAAAATAGGAGAAAAACTGAACATGATTTTTCAGCTACCATGAGATACAATTGCTTCTCACAATTGGAATCAGTTAAGCGATTGGTTTAAAATCATTATTAAAGCAAGTGTTCAAGAATGTGCTACAGTTACAGTGAGATTTTTATACAGTAAGTTGTATTACTACTTAGTAATTGTCCTTTTTACTGTGGGTATTAAAACAACTACATTTTAACTTTTCACAGTAGCAGAACTACTATTGGAATTGAGAAAAAGTTTGTTAAAGCATGAATTTTCAGGATTACTTGAAAAACCAGCTGGACGACTATAGGTGCCGGACACAGTCTAACTAGGAGTAATCATTACATCCAGTAAAATTAAACCCTAAACCCAGGGATTTCACCTGAGTAATAAAGGAGATTAGTCTATGATCCCATGTCCCTGATGTTAATTTGTTACCCTGTATTGCCTGGCAGTAAACAATTAAAGGCCAATCTTGGAAGGCTGATAGGAGTTGAGAGAACTGCATGCCTAGCAAAGGTTAGGAAAGTGTATGTTCACACCGGACATGAGCTTTATATAATTATCCTACTGGTTAGGATTCACTGGACAATTATCTTGGTAAACAACGGGACACTGATGACAACAAAACAAAGGCATCTCAGAGCAGCTCCTTTGTCAGCACTGCTGCCAGCTAGAGCCCCAGTGAATTGCCTCGGTCCTGGCTGTGGTCCCAGTGTGATCAGCCCCCAAACAAGGACTGCACAGTTACAGGGGGAGCAGCAAGGGAAACAATTTTCCTAACCTGTCAGCATTGAAGAACTCAAACATTTTTCCTTACCACAAAAGGACTTGAAAATTTGGAGGGGAAAATGTGCACAGACTAAGCTTATGCAGAAGATCAGATTGGCTGGAGAGAGCAGCTTTGCTTTCCATGCTTCTAAAACATTCCTTCAGATTTTGACCACCTTTATCTGAGCGATAGCAGCATTTCAACAGTGGAATAGAAAAAAGAGAAAAATGTCAGAATGGAAATGTCAAAGGACCCTGTTGTTTTTTTTTAACCCAAAAATCCTCTAAGCAGGAGGCGCAGCTAGCTGAATCTTTTTTGGCAACTATTCCCCTTCAGTGAATTGACTCATAATTTCAGAGAACTTCTGACCAGCAACAGTCCATGGTTCATATGAGACAAAAGAATAAAACAACAGTCATTCC